TTTCAGCTCGTTCCAAACGACTTATTCCTTTGACCGAGAAGTAATTTCTCTCTGAATTTATTAGCAAAATCTTTTTGTCTTTCATTTCATCCCTTTGGGGAGGCAGGATGCCACGAGCTCTGCTGAGATGTTTACCTCTGGGACTGGTCCCCAGGTGCCTGTAGCTGTCACAGTTCTGTGCTTAGAGATTGAGACCAGGATTTGTTTCTCTTACGTTATGTGTCGACCTCATATCCCACCAGCTCTCTATCCCTGGGGCTGCTCCTTTGCTTCAGATGTAACGGGGCACTTCAGGCAGGCTCTTTGCAGTGAAATGAATGCGATGAATAAGCCCCTTCGAACTGCATCTCGTCAAGCAGGTCATTTCCATGATAGCTGTGGAAGCCTCCTTTTTTTCCTACAATATTTGATGGGGCTTTCAAACACTGAGTGTTACCTTTTCATGGGGATGGAGACATTGAGAGCTGCCTCATAAGGTTATCTGAGTGATGATCACTAAGCATCTTCTACCCCAATGGTTCTCAACCTTGGCTGCACATTAGAATCACCTGGGAATCTTTTTAAAATCCTGATTTCTGGGCCTCATCCTCCGGAAATTCTGTTTCTTTGTTAGTAATGTTGTGGCCCCACCCCATAACAAAGAAACAGAATTTCCAGAGGATGAGGCCCAGAAATCAGGATTTTAAAAAGATTCCCAGGTGATTCTAATGTGCAGCCAAGGTTGAGAACCACTGCTCTGTCCACACCCACTTACCTTGCTCCATGGCTCAGCTGCAAACTATAGCTTGTTCCCAAATTAAGGGTTTCGAGGACAATTAAGTTCCCTTTGCTATTTCTAATGCTTTTCTTAATCTTAGACTATAAACCTATTTCTAATGCTTCTTGTTTGTTTTGGCAGGTGCTTTATTCTTCCAAACGATACCATCCATTGTGAGAGAGAACTCTATCAGTCAGCCAGAGCGTGGAAGGACCACAAGGCATACATTGACAAAGAGGTGAGCCGTGGCTGCGAGATTGGAAGCCCTACAGGTGGGACATACTGTGTGTGCCCTTCATCTGTTTATAATTACGTGGAAAATAGAATAGCACAGTGTTTCTCATTCTCCAGTGAGATAGTGAGAGTCCTGACCAAAAAACAGTGTGAGGAAAGAATGGGAACCGACTCAATGACCTTCTGAAGTTTCTATGAGAAAATAATTCGGTTCTAAAAGAGACTTCTGTTCATGCTTATGATAAGACATCCTTTGGAATATAGAGGGAAATAGATTCTATGCTCAGTTTGCCCCCAAATTATCATCTCAGATGAATGGCTGTGATTGTGGAACACAGAAATAAGGTGAGAAGGAAGGTAGTTAGCACAGAAAATCCTGCAAATGTAATTGTTGAATTGCCTGTTTCCCAGATTGAAGCTCTGCAGGATAAAATTAAGAATTTAAGAGAAGTGAGAGGGCACTTGAAGAGGAGGAAGCCCGAGGAGTGTGTCTGCAGTAAACAGAGGTGAGCGTGGGCCCCTCCCGTGGTCTCCGTTCCAAACTCATTTTTTCCACAGGCCTGTTTAGCATTAGGCCTGCTTCTCTCTTTTACCAGCAGAAAGCTTCATAGAATGAATTGTCACATATTAATAATGGCCTAAAATATCTTGGTCGAATTAAATGTCATAAACCTAAGTGGATAGTTAAGGGGGAAAAAAAAAACATTTAAAAGTCCCATTAAGCTGAGATAGTTACAACAAAGTAACTGCCTTCTATTTGCTTTCTTGTTATAAAATAAGCTGTTTGACAAATGCATGCTGATGAAGACTCACTTTCTCATCTTCTTGCCTGCAGCTACTACAATAAAGAAAAAGGTGTAAAAAAGCAAGAGAAATTAAAGAGCCATCTCCACCCATTCAAGTAAGTGACTCTGTTTCCTTCATTTGTGGGAGTGAAGGACTGTCCACTGGGCTCTTCTGAAAGGCTGCAGGGACTCCTGTGAGCCTGCGTGGGAAAAAGTAGATGCAACTGGGAAGGCATGTAGCTCCAGACGGTGAAAGCAAGCCCACACCTTGCCAAGCGCGTGGCGATGCCATGGCCCCTCGAGGGGCAGCCGAGCGGAGTGCTGCTCTGTTTCTGTGTGGGCTCTTGTGGATGCTTGCGTGGTCCCTGGATTTCACTCCGTGCGGGCTCGGCTTTCTGTGCACGGTGCCTGGGAGATGGCCTCTCTGGATTAGCTCAGTGTGTTCCAGAGAGCAGCCAGCCCTCATGGGGAATTCTGAAAGTTGGAAGAAATACACATATTTTTTAAATAATAAGTTAAATTGGCCAGGGAAGGGGATTTAGTATATGAGTCTCAACAAAATTTGAGCCCTTCCGGAAAAACCAAGATAATAAAAAGACGACAATTCTACCCAAGCCTATATTGTCGAATTGGTCGGAGAATGTTAGAAACCTTCTAATGCAAGCCATCTAATCCAGCCATTGACTTCATGGCTGCCGGCTCTGAGCCGCCAGGGAGTGAAGCCATTTGTCCAGAGAGGGAGCTAGCAGACTCTGCTGCTCAACAAGGAAGAAAGCGCTGGTGTTGTTGAGGGAGAATTCCGAGAGAGCTCTCACAGTGAACTTGTCCTATTGCTGATTGGAGGGCCTCTGCGGAAGATAAAAGTGGTCTGTTATTGCATGTCTATTATTGTGTGCCTAAATACTTGTGAAAGGTTTATAGCAATAGTCCTATTTTTAACTAAGAAGTTGCTCTCTGGTCATTGAAAATATACACCCCCCTTTTTTAAATTATGAGCTTTGTTTTTTTCCCTTAAGTTTTCTTTTTCTTCTTCTTTAAATCTTTATTGTTGAAAGTATTACATATGCTCCCTTTTTCCCCCATTGACCTCTCCCAGCCCTCCCTCAGCCCCCACCCCAAACCTTCACCACCCTATTGTCTGTGTCCATGGTTATGCATGTATGCATACAAGTTCATTGGTTGATCTCTTTCTACCCCCCTCCCCGCCTTCCCTCTAAGGTTTGACAGTCTGTTCAATGCTTCCATGTCTCTCGATCTATTTTTGTTCATCGGTTTATGTTGTTCATTAGATTCCACATATAAGTGAGATCATGTGATACTTATTTTTCTCTGACTGGCTTATTTCACTTAGCATAATGTTCTCCAGGTCCATCCATGCTGTTGCAATGGTAAGAGTTTTCTTTTTAATAGCTGCACAGTATTCCATTGTGTAGATGTACCACAGTTTTTTTAATCCACTCATTTGCTGATGGGCACTTAGGCTGTTTCCAAATCTTAGCTATTGTAAATTGTGCTGCTATGAACATAGGGGTGCATATATTCTTTCTGATTGGTGTTTCTGATTTCTTAGGATATATTCCGATAAGTGGGATTACTGGGTCAAATAGGAGTTCCATTTTTTATTTTTTGAGGAAACACCATACTGTTCTCCACAGAGGCTGCACCAGTCTGCATTCCCATTAGGGTTTCCTTTTCTCCATATCCTCGCCAACACTTGTTGTTTGTTGATTTGTTGATGGTAGCCATTCTGACAGGTGTGAGGTGATACCTCATTGTTGTTTTAATTTGCATCTCCCAGGTGATTAGTGACTTTGAGTATTTTTTCATATACCTCTTGGACTTCTATATGTCCACTTTGGAGAAGTGTCTAGTAGGGTCCTTTGCCAATTTTTAATTGGATTGTCTTCCTTTTTAATTGGATTTGTCTCATACAAACTTCCTTTGTATGAGTTCCCTATAAATTTTGGAGATTAACCCCTTATTGGCAAATAAGTTCTCCCACGCAGTGGGTCCTCTTGTTATTTTGTTGGTTTCTTTTGCTGTGCAGAAGCTTTTTATTTTGATGTACCCCATTTGTTTGTTTTCTCCTTAGTTTCCTTTGCCCTAGGAGATGTGTTGGTAAACATATTGCTACCAGAGATGCCTGAGATTTTGCTGCCTATGGTTTCTTCTAGGATTTTTACGGTTTCACATCTTACATTTAAGTCTTTTATCCATTTTGAGTTAATTTTTGTGTATGGTGTAAGTTGGTGGTCTAGTTTCATTTTTTTGCATGTATCTGTCCAATTTTCCCAACACCATTTATTGAAGAGACTGTCTTTACTCCATTGTATGCTCTTATTTCCTTTGTCAAATATTAATTGAGCATAATGGCTTGGGTCAATTTTTGGGTTCTCTGTTCTGTTCCATTGATCTATATGCCTGTTCTTGCACCAGTACCAAGCTGTTTTGAGTGCAGTGGCTTTATAGTATAACTTGACATCTAGTATTGTGATCCCTCCAACTCTCAAGATTGCTTCAGCTATTCGGAGTCTTTTTTGATTCCATCTAAATTTTTGGAGAGTTTGTTCTAGGTCTGTGAAATATGCTGTTGGTATTTTAATAAGGATTGTGCTGAATCGTATGAATATTTTAATGATGTTAATTCTACCAATCCATGAACACGGTACATCCTACCACTTGTTTATGTCTTCTTCTATCTCTTTTTTAAATGTCCTATAGTTTTCCGAGTACAAGTCTTTTACCTCCTTGGTTAAGTTTATCCCTAAGTATCTTAAATTTTTTGTTGCAATGGTAAGTGGGATTTTTTTATTTTTATTTTTTTAGTTTCTCTTTCTGAGAGTTCATTATTGGTGTATAAAAATGCCATAGATTTCTGGATGTTAACGTTATCATTCTGCTACATTGCTGAATTCATTTATAAAATCTAGAAAAATTCATTTATAAAATCTAGAAAAAGTAGTCTTTTGATGGAATGTTAAAATAAATAAATAAATAAATAAATA